GACGGGGTTTCACCAAGTTGATCAGGATGGTCTCGATCTCTTGACCTCGTGATCCACCCGCCTCGGCCTCCCAAAGTGCTGGGATTACAGGCTTGAGCCACCGCGCCCGGCCAATATAGTTCTTAATTTGTTGAATGTTTTCTATTTATGCTGTGCCGTGGAGGAGGGGGAAAGTCATGAAGAGTTGAGCCATTGGTTCTTTCATTATTTATTCCTTAATAGAATAAAATGAGCTTTATTAGCGTTTTACTTAAAGATAGCTATTGAAAAGAAGGATTTCCTCTTTACTGCTGATCACACAACTCTACATGTGCCTTATAAAGTAGAAAGCTTTGTGCTTTATTTTATTATGAGATGACTTAAGGAAGCAAAAGTGATTAAATATTTTTAATTCTATGGAAATAATTCTTCTATCGGAACATGATGTGGAACAATTACATTTCCTCTGAGAATGGAACAGTGAATTTTAGAAAATCCATACTTTTCCTTTTAGAGAAAATCTGACGACACTCTAACACATGAGTGTATCATTTTTGCTTCCCATGGGGCGTCTTTAATTGCTCTTGAGAGTGAAGCTCTGTATTGATATTACTCTTTGTCAACCATTGTAAGTTTAAGGTCCCAGGGGAAGGTTTGGGTCACCCAGAAATCCCATTAGTCTGAAATCAGATTTATGAGCCATATACCCTGCATCTTGAAAGCCTCCTACTTCTTTTCAGGACCCTGTCTATAATTTTTTTTTTTTTTTTTTTGAGATGGAGTCTTGCTCTGTCACCCAGGCAGGAGTGCAATGGTGTGATCACTGCTCACTGCAACCTCCGCCTCCTGGGTGCAAGCAATTCTCCTGCCTCAGCCTCCAGAGCAGCTGATATCACAGGTGTGCACCACCATGCCTGGCCAATTTTTTGTATTTTTAGTAGAGAAGGGGTTTCACCATATTGGCCAGGCTGTTCTCGAACTCCCGACCTTGTAATCCACCTGCCTCGGCCTTCCAAACTGCCAGGACCACAGGCATGAGCCACTGTACCCTATAATTTTTAATATGCTAACATAATGAGGGGCTGTTAGCTTGGAAGAGTAATACTTTTAGCAGGTTGCTTTGTCAAGGCCAGCTTAATTCTTAGCTTATAAGAATCAGTTCTTGGCCCGGTGTGGTGGCTCATGCCTGTAATCCCAGCACTTTGGGAGACCAAGGCAGGTGGATCACCTGAGGTCAGGAGTTCGAAACCAGCCTGACCAACATGGTGAAACCCTGTCTCTACTAAAAATACAAAAATTAACTGGGCATCGTGGCATCTGCCTGTAATCCCAGGAGATTGAGGCAGGAGAATTGCTTGAACCCTTGAGGCAGAGATTGCAGTGAGCCAAGATTGCTCCACTGCACTCCAGCCTGGGTAACAATAGCAAAACTCTGTCT